TGGTTGAGTCCCCATCCCTGGAAGTATTTAAAAGACGTGTAGATGAGGCACTTAGGGACATGGTTTAGTGGGCCTGGTGGTGTTGGGTTGATGGTTGGACTCGATGATCTTAGAGGTCTTTTCCAACCTTAATGATTCTATGATTACCTAGCAACAACTAAAACATTGGTGCCTTATCAACTTTGTTCTCATCCTAAATGCAAAACACAGCACTGTACCAGCTACTAGGAAGGAAATTAACTCTATCCCTGCCGAAACCAGGACAGCCCAGTAGAGTACAGACCAATAACCCCTTCCCTTTGAACGTGATCACCCATCCAGTTTTTCATCTATCTAGTAGTCCACCCATCTAGACAGGATGTCTCAACTTGTGTATAAGGATGCTCTAGGAAACCATGTTAAAGCCTTGCTAAAACAAAAGGAGATGACATTAAAATACAGCTACCATGGTTACTAGTCCGCACCTGGCAGTCAAGCTGTACTAAAACTCAAAAGAATTAGGTCAGTGTTCTGCTCTTAGAGATCAATCAATATATCTATGTGGAAAAAAGAACACAAAGAATACCTGTGGTCAGTCAAGACAGAATATATAAGTGGAAAGAAACAAAACCATCTACTGTGTTAGAATAAGTAAATAGACAAGTAGAGAGAAAGGTGGATGAGAGGTGGACTTCTGTAGGCCAAGAACGGATGTAAACATAGCTGCAGAAGACTCAAGATGTCATCCTTAGTCAGCTTTCTGTTCTTCTATAATCTGTCACTGCCATGGGTTCCCCACAGCATTTATTATCTAACCAAAATGCATTACTTCAGTCTCCTAAAAAAAGAGAAAGTACATTATCTTAAATTTTTCAAAGGTAACCATTGGAGTATCAATGAGTAATGAGTAACCATTACTACCAGTGAGTAATGTCTTATTGCTCATTGTTTCTTTTGCAGTAGCACATAGGTTGATGCTTCATTAGTAAAGTTTCCTCCATCCTGAAAGCAGCAGAGCAGAGAAATATGACCCTCTATCAGGGACTGTTACGAACTGTTGAGTAGCTATGTTTTTATATCGCTCATATCCAAGGGAACATTAAATTTAGTTTTTAATAAACAGTTTTGTCACTCTCCAGCACTAAAATTCAGCCACCTACTAGTGTGATCACTGTGAGATTGTGGGCTATATACAAGAAGTAATAACATGGTTGAGTTGATTTTACACTTACATCAACAGAGTGCAGTGCAAAAGCGTGATAAGTAGACTTTTTATAACAAATTGCATATGTCTGATCTAAGGAATACCTAGAGGTTTCATTTGATTTTTATTGTAATAAATCAAATGAAGAAAGTGTGCTTTTTCAGTAACAAAAGCAGTTCAGAAATTTATTGCAGACTTCAGTAATTCTAGTGTTTTTCTCTGGATGTTAAGGGCAGCTTAAGTCTGGCCAATACCATAAAAATGTCTTGGGCAAAATGTGGAAAAACTAGCAGAGCTAAGCAATGCAGGTATAGTAGAAGCGAACACATTTAAAAAGCTTTTCGTGTGCCAGTAGCAGCATTCAGTATAATCCGTCAAATATAATTTGGATAGTAGTACCAGGAAACAAAGGGACAGATAATTAATTTATAGCTGTAGTTGGTGGGGGCATTAAATGTCTGTTGTGTTTTGCTAGGCCTAAAAGTATAATTTACTGTTGGAAGGGGGTTTTTAGGTTTTGTTTTGCCCTTTTTTTAGGGGGAGGGAGTTCGACAACTTTGAAGTGGAAATTTCTTTTGGCTTCATTTTAAATTGGTCTAGTCTAATTTACAGAATGCAAATTGCACACACAGTAATTTTTAGTGCCCTGTACTGTGATATATACTAGTCTCAGGTTCAGCTAGATGTATTAGTTTGTCAAGATTTTACCTTGTCTGCAAATGTAGGTTCATGAATGAAGTCCTGCATATCCTTGGGGCTAAAATAACAGATCGTCTGAAGCAGTAATGATGCAGATGGTTCTGCTGTGCTTTTAGTTGTTACAAATGTGATAAGTCCGCTAAAAACAAAATTATCCAATATCATGTCACCAGTCTTCTGGTAACTTACTGTTCCCAGGCTGCCAACAAATCCTTGAAGTCTTCCTTCAGAAATATTGCCTGCATCCTAAGCATGATACCTTGCAGCCCTGTCAGGCAAAGGCAGAATATTTTAATATGAAATGTATTATTTAGACATTAGAATTTTCATTTAGATTAATGAGGAAAAAGTCCTGCTCACAAAGGCTTCTGCTTCAGTAACTGAGGGCCAGACTAGCATAAATTTTATTTCCTAAGAGAATGGATGTGCCGCATACTATAACTTTACACAGCATAGTATCAGCTAAGGGCCCCTCACTACAAGAAGGACGTCGAGGTGCTGGAGCGTGTCCAGAGAAGGGCAACGAGGCTGGTGAGGGGTCTGGAGAACAAGTCTTATGAGGAGCGGCTGAGGGAACTGGGGTTGTTTAGCCTGGAGAAAAGGAGGCTGAGGGGAGACCTCATCGCTCTCTACAACTACCTGAAAGGAGGTTGTAGCGAGGTGGGTGTCGGTCTCTTCTCCCAAGGAGCAAGCGATAGGACGAGAGGAAATGGCCTCAAGTTGCACCAGGGGAGGTTTAGATTGGACATGAGGAAAAATGTCTTTACTGAAAGAGTAAGACGTATAGAGGCGCTTAGGGACATGGTTTAGTGGGCATGGTGGTGTTGGGTTGATGGTTGGACTTGATGATCTTAGAGGTCTCTTCCAACCTTAATGATTCTATGATTCTATGATTCTAAGTCAGAGCTTTCTGAAGGGGCAGTGCTAGATAAAGCAAGGTCAGCAGTAACAAACCATGAGTGTGTCCCAAACCATGAGAATGCATGCAGTTATGTGCATGCAGTGTTATCACCAGAGGCCTGCAAAGCCTTTCAGATGCTGTGGTCACCCATGGTAATGCATCTGTCCTAAGTGGGCAGTAGTGGAAGCAAGGACCAGAGGTGTGTAACCACAAAGGAGCAGTCATTATTGGTGTGTGACACAATCAGACAAGGCTCTCTGTCTCTGAATTAGGCTGCCAGTACTCCCCAGAATGGTGTCCTTCTGGTCACCACTGTGAAGAAAAGGAATCTGGGACTGGAAAAGTTCTGTATTGTTATATTGCTTACATTTAAAAAAAAAATCCATCACCTCTGGTTTTATCATGAAGGAGCTATGTGGAGGCCAGGTCTGTCTCAGAGCAGGGGAGGATGAAATGGAAGTGGCTCCTAGCTTTCTTCATCTCCTGACTTACCTTTAACGTGTTCAGGTAGTGGCTTGCAGAGACTTAATAGATCTACAGCAGTAGTGCAGGAAAATGGCCTACCATGGCCATACTACTTCAAGTAAACCATCTGGACAATGACAAGAGAGACCTAGAATTGCTGTCTTCATTAAACCTTCCTGGTTGAAGGCATGGGTAGGTCAGCATGGCTCAGGAATGAATACGTAGGATGCAACATATTGGCTAGCCTTGCCCATGAGAACAGCAGTATAAAATTGCTGATCTTGCTTCAGTGAACAGGAAATCTAGAAGTACACTCCCACCGCTAGTTGTAATTTACTGTAACACAAAAAAATGAGGTTCTGCTTTCCCACCATATATCTCATTGAGCTACGGTTGGACATGCGTGTGCAGTCATTGCCTCACAGTGATCAGTTGTACTAGAGAAGGAATAACTGAGCCACAGAACCTCTGTCAAGGCATGTTTTCTACAGGGTCTTTATGATCCCAGCAGGGATGTTGTCACCTAACTCCCAAAATCTTTTCTGAAAGACCACTTTTTTTTTTCTTCTTCTTCTTTCAAATAGACTTCTAGGAGGTCAGTGTGTATCTATGGGTGAAGAATGGCTGGTTGGGTTAACCCTCCTGAGACCTGAACTTACATCAAACAATTTGTTCAGTTTTCTTCAGACATGTCTGAATGGTACAAAATCTAATGCAAGTTTTAATGATTGGTGGTTTAATTCTGCAAGTGTCCCTCAATAAAGTGAGGTAGGCACTACAGCCCATTTGCGCAGGATTCGACCGTTACTTAGCTTACACGACTCAACTTGCAACAGCAAGTAATGTAAATGTTCCTTTAAAAAAATAAACAAAGTATCTCTAAATCTGTTGCCATAACTCTAAACATTGCTGCCTGGGGTGATTTATAGTAAACCAAAACTATGCTACAGTCATGGATCCCACATGCCTGGCATTTTACTGTAAGAATCGGGATTGTCCTTTTCAATCCTGATGCTTTATTCTCTTCTTGAGTTCAGATCATGTTCAGATTCATAATTATTAGAAACCGGCATCAAAACGAAAAGAATATTCAGAATAGAAGTGTACATTACACTCGGGAGATATAGTGTAAAAATCAGCATAATTGGATGGCATTGCTAATTAGGAATCGGCTTTCAGCGTCCATATGCTACAGTTAGGAGAACTCTGCGAAGACAGCACTGAAAAAGAAGAATCTACACCTTCCAGTAGTTAAATTTAAAGATGATTTTTAAATGGTAATCTGGAAGGGGAGACAGAGTAATAGGTTGTGGTCTGGAAACAGATTTGATTTAAGTTTCCAAAGCATCTGTTGCAGGAAGCGAAGCCTGGATTCTTTATATATAAATAGAGCTAAAAGCATACTGTTGATTTGATAGCGTGTAGACAGAGGAAATAATATTTGTGTAGCTTTGATGGGGAAAATCTTGTGCTTGAAAGGAATACAATTATTTTTTTACTTGAATTCCACTTGTTTCATTCTACTTTGCTAGGATATATTAATTAATTAATTAAAGAATTTTAATCACTTTTCCGATAAAAGTCCATATTTGCCTTAAATAGCTATACTATTAAAAAAGGAAAAATGTTTTTTTAAAAAAGAACAAAAGCAATGCCATTATCTACATGACACATTGCTTTCCTCTGCAGACATGCACCAGTAGAGGCTGCTGTACATCATATTAAATAAACATTTGTACATACTGATAGATTAATTTACAGGCAGGTCAGAGATGGAACTTGAAATGTAGTTGTGTGTTTAACTTACGTAAACATATAAAAATTATAAATGCAGAAACCCTAAGATTTTACAGAGAGACCATAGTCAGGGGATAGTAGCAAAGTAGCAAGCATTGCTTTTCATCATTCCGTGTTTCTAACTTCAGACAGGGCGGATAGTCATTTTTACAAATAGGCACCTGAAGGTGCTGAAGCATCAATCTTTGCTTTTTCATACCAGACTCTCACTAGTCATTAACCAACATATCACTATTTCATTAAAATGTTTATTAGGTTTTGTATTTCTGATGTCTAAAATGTCTCTGTTACATTTATGCATGGAGTGCTTTTTATCACTTTTACTAGAAGAGCAGGAATTTTCCTTAAAACCGCATGTATTATCCTTGTATTATTTGGGTTACGGTTCCAATGACTCACTCTCCTCTGCGTTCTGCTGTTGACCTGGCTCTGCAGAAATGAAGCCACTGCACTGTCAGAAACGCATGAGCACGCAGAGCTGAGCTCCCTCCACACACACGTGACACCATGGCCCCACCACCGAAGGGGCCAGGCAGGCTGGAGCCCTGTGCAAAGGGCTCCTGGGGGCAGGCAGCAATCGCCCACGGAGCCTTTGAGACTTCACAGGACCAGAGCGCCCTCACTGAGACCTAAAGCACCACTGGCAAATGGCTGAGAGTTAGGGACAACCTGAAAAACACGAGGAACTGTGTTCAGTTACTGTGTTCAGTTCAGCTACTGTGTCCAGTAGCTTCTAGGACAGCAGGACTCAAATGTAGCTGGGTGAGACAGATCAAAAAAATTCCGTGCAGTCTTTGTTTCTTCCTGCCATCCTCTTTCCGAGAGTGGTCTCTCTTTGGCAGCTGTGTGAAGAAGGAAATATTTGCTTTGGACCAGTTCAGACAGCAGGCAGGAGACGAGCATAGTTTAAAAGAAAATCAACCACAAAGAAACCAAAACATCCCAAATGGGTTGTGACCTGGGGAGTGCTGCCCTTCCTTCCTCTCCCTGCGCGATGCCACCGTGGCCTAGTCAAAAGGTGGACAGTGACGGCTACAGCCAGCCGGAGGCTGGGCGGTATTCCTGCCTGCAGCCGGGGCTGGAAGGAGCAGTGTGCCCGGGGTGTGGGGAGAAGGTGGGAGCAATGCTCCTCGGGGGAGTCTGGTGCAGACGAGGGATGCAGCAGCTGGAGGGAAGCCATGTGGAAAAGGCCACGATGACACGTGGAGTGCAGAGGCTTTGGGGGGGACTTTGTGCATGCCAGCTGGGGCCTTCTAGTCTGTGAGTTGGAGATACTCTGGCAAAATGAATAGCCGAACCAGTTTTTGTGCTGGAAAGCTGCAGGTTAGCGTGCAGAGGTCTGTAGTGGCTGAGGATGGAGATAGGTGCGTATTGTGGATAGTTGCTGTAGAAAAGAAAGTTAGCTTTGCTGTCAACTTTTTCAGTGATTTTTCCTCAGTAGTAAAGTCAGAGCAGCGCAACTGCCAGCTACATCCCCTGACGTTTGTCAGCGCTGTATGTTCTAGGAGAGGCTCGAACCATGGGCGTTTCCAGATGACTCTGATTAAAAGCCAATATATGTTATGGCTATATGCTACGTAGTCTTACCTCGGAGAGTACTTATACCTGAAGACTAGAGAGAACTGGCTGTTGGGAAAGAGCACGATTTTTTTCTTTCAGGTCCTGTGGGGGTTGGGCTGAATGAACTTAAACGGAAATTGCTGATCAGTGACACCCAGCATTACGGGGTAACAGTGCCACGTAAGTAAAAACACACTTCTATTCTCCTAATGCTATACTTGCATTATTATCCTTTATTATTGCATTACCTTAAGGCACTTTCAAATTTGGGTCTCTAAATCCATGCTTGGCATCCAAATTACTTTTCTAATTTTTAAAAGTGCTGCTGCAGTTGTATTTTAAATAGCATTGATTAAACTGATAGGACGTTTTGGCTCAGAGGCATTGCAGTAGACTTTTAGTACAAGTTTAACATGATTGATGTCAGCAAGGTTTAGTAAATGAAACTCGGCTGAAGAACACCCTGGATTTGGCTGTAAAGCAGTGAAACGTACTCTGTTACCAATGCTTGCTTTCAGCAAAATGGCCTTTATATATTAGGCTGAAAAATTAAGAATGAAGATAAGCAGTTTAATCCTGTGAATAAATTAATTAAATCCCTTTGATTACCTTTAGAAAAGTTGATTTGGGGATTTTTTTTTTCCTCTTTCCCCCTATCTGACCAAGTAGCGTAATTTGTATAACATTGAATAACATTGTTCTATATTAACTTCTACAATACTTCACTGGGTTTTCTTTAATGTGGAGGACTTGACAGTTTTAGTTAGACTTTCATTCCTTGGTTTGCTTTCTGCTTGTACCTGTGCCTCCTATTGGGATCATTTAAAAAAAAATGGGTCCAACATTCTCAAATTGGGAGATAACGTCACAAGGGTTTTGCAAGTACAGGTATTCTATAAAGTGTATATATATGAATGAATTTGCTAGGTAGAAAAATGAATACATTTGGTTTTGGTGAGTAATTTCATTTGCACATATTTGCTTCAGCTGGGTATTGAAAACAACAGAAAAAAAGCCAGATGTTCCCAAATATTTAACACATTGAAGCATATGCAATCATTTGCCCAAAAATATTTCTCTAAAAATTGCCAGTATTCATCAGGCTGCCTTCTCTCTTTTCTCTTCCAAATTTGTGGTTATAATTTAAAACAAACACGTAAAGAAATCCCTCTCCCTGAAATTCAGTAAGTCAGGACTCGGAGGGAGAACTGGGGTTCTTGTCTTGGAAATGTTTCTCTTCGTGTCAACCTAAGAGCAGCATGATATCAAATGGCATTCAGGACTGTGTTTCTGCAAGCAGGTTGTGTATGTTCCTATGTGATGGAGAATGCATGATGCTGTAACATACAACTTGTATTAAACAGGACTTTCGAACAGGTTCATTATTCGTAAGCGTCCACCCCACAAATAAGCTTCATTTATAAGCAAAACCTTTATACGTAGTACTTGAAAGTAAGAAGTGCAAATACTACAAGGCTACTGAAAGAAAAAGCAATTTGGTTTTGATCACCAGAAAAAGAAAAGCACTAAAACTTAAAATTCACACCCCTATTTTTTTATTATCATGCTTCACATACCATAGCTACAAGTGTTGTTAATGAATGTAACGTTTTATAAATCAAGTTGGTAAGCTTTGTTTCCCTTTATGGTCTTGTATGCTAATAAGTTTAGTAAGTGGCAAGGCTGGGGTAATGGTTATGGACTGCTGCTCCTTTTATTATTCAGCTGTCCTCATTTTATTGCATTTTTCCACTAGTTAATAAAAATTATAATCTGATACTTGTCCAGTAAGTTTTTTCTTGCTTTTCCTTCATGCTTTTAAACTCAATCCTGTCATGCTGTCATGTGCTTGAGTGCTGCCTACCAGATCCAGAGCAGCCTTATGTCCATGAGAAGTGAGGGAACTTGTGCAATACTGCTTAGTATTGCAATACTGCTTAGTATTGCACAAGGGTTGTGTGCTTTTCAGTGTTTCCTGAACTGGTTTGCTTTGTATTGTTTTGTGCATCTTTTCCTTTTTTTTTTTTTTTTTTTTTTTCATTTAATGAAACTGCAGACACTACCCGACCAAGGAGAAGCCAAGAAAGTGACGGTGTCGAATACACTTTCATTTCCAAGCACTTGTTTGAGACAGACGTACAGAATAACAAGTATGTTGAAGAGATTTTAACTAGAACTGCAGTTAAAACAATGGCTTTATTATAAAATGGGGCTGGTTGTAATTTTAGATAGTAAGTCAAAGTGGATATAAGTTGCAGTGATTTGAAGATGTGTTAAAATTACATTTTGATATATAAGCAGTTCAAAGCAGCTGGCAAAAACACAGAGCAAAAAAGCGGTATGTGCAAACACAAATGCTTCCATGCTTTCAAAGCTTCCAAGTAGTTTCAGTACTTCAGCTCATCAAGACGACACTGAAATTGTAGGTGTTCAGGATGGGGGAGCACTCCGGGCATCGTCTGTCATAGCAATAAAGCATTGCAGCTCTAGGAGAGGGGGTCCTGGAAGTGCTGCAAACGTGCCTGAGTCAATGTTTGCGTAGTTCTGCTCTCTTTCAGGCCAGGCACTTCCTCTGCTTTTGAATTTAGAGATCTACAGTGAAGCCCCTGCCTGTAAACCCGCCAGAAATTGAACTGAAAGGAAGACAATGGCAGCATCGTGCTCTCCAGCAGCCTGTAAAATATCGTAGCTTGAAATTCTGCCCCAGTGTTTCAGAGGGCAAAAGTGTATTAGACACAAAGCTGTGGGTTTTACTGAAACTTCAAAATGTGCTTTGCTTTTTTGGCAAATAGTGCTTGTACTTTTATAGCACATAACCAGCCGCCTTGGTTCCATTAGCACCATCGGCGCTCCTCCTCCTCTTCTGAGACAGAGAATTTGGATATTCTGTAGTGTGCAATGAAATTTCAGTAGTTTCTATTGTTTAGCTTATCCACTGTTTTATTGCATTGCATTAGTTCAGAAAAAGAGGTGATGGAAAACATTAGTGAGCTGTTGGACTACAGTACTTTTTTCTCTTTAACTGTAATACAAGCAGGTGTTACTGATTTGAAAGTGGTAAAGTAGATTTCTTAAAATTGACATGCTGAAGTACTTGACAGCATTTCCTTTACAAAATATGGTAAAACTCTCATGTAAAGTGAAATATTTTTGCTCCTGAATTAGATCTTATAAACCAAACTGATAAGCTTTTTTCTGGAGAAAAAGGAAATTATCCCAGTTGTTTTCACCTTCTGCCACAGGTTTATCGAGTACGGCGAGTATAAGAACAACTACTATGGTACAAGTTTAGATTCTGTTCGATCCGTTCTAGCTAAAAACAAAGTTTGTTTGTTGGATGTGCAGCCTCATGTAAGTAAGCATGTCTTTTGGACTCTTGTAGTTCCCCACATTGCATGTTGGGATTCCAGGAAAAAAGTTTTTTCTACAAAGCTATATTTCATTCCATACTGAATGACTGTTGAGTGGCCTTGCTGGGTACCTTTATCACAGCAAGACTCTCTGAAAGGAGGAGAGGAGGGAAGCTTCAATACATGTTGGCAAGTATTCAGCTCAGTAATTAACTGAATTGAAAGCCTGCAGCATAATACCAAAGATTTAATTACAAAATGCTCCTATATTTTCATTCATCTTTCTGCTGGTTTGGGTTAGAGGTTCTCTCTGAAACTTCAATTTCCGAATGGCTTTGAGCTCTCACATGTTTAGCCGGACCGTTTGTGCAGAGGGTTTCCATGCAGGGTGGACACGAGTCAAGGAACACACCAAACGTGATATTGGCTGGATAATGGCTAAGAACATTCCTCTCTCAACCATTTGTTCTTGCATTGACCTTGTCTTTCAGCCCCGCTGAACAGCTCCACTGGGAAACTTTATGCTACTAATAACCACAGTGCTTCCAGGAGCTGGACTAGTTTGTTTAAATCCAGCCAAAGTATTTCTTCTCCAAGGGTGGCCAGCCTGTGACTGCTGAACCCCGGCAGCTTGTGAACAGTTCCTGGGGCAGTTTCGGATGCGGGGCTGTGCCACAGGAGCAGGGCAGGGGGGCTGCGCTGCCAGAGGAGCGTCTGGGGAAGCCAGACCCCACGCCAGGGGAGGAGGGGAGCTGGGCAGGGGCTCCTGGGGCTGATATTGCCAGGCTGCTCTGGGAGACCGTTCCATGTCCAGCACGGCCCTGTTTTCCAGGGAAGCACTAAATTCTCCCGGGGACCCAGGCTTGTGAACTGTTCTGGGATCCCACTCTCCAACACAGCATTTTCCTGTGGGCCCTGGCAGTGTGAAGAGGACAGAAAGCTGCGGGCCATCCCATCCCTGCTTCACTCTGTGCGCAATCTGAATTGTAGACCTATCTCTAACTCAATACGTAGCATCACTCGACTCGCTCAGGAAGTGTGAACAGTTATATAGCGGACACACAGTATTGAAGAGAACAAATCATTGACCTGTTGTGACCGAGTGTCACAGACACCTTTTCCCGCTACTTTTCATGGGTACAGAAAGTAATATTCCTGCCAGAATGTGTTGAACTTCTCCTCCCCTCCCTCCTCCCGCTGCCAGTGGCACTGCAGTGCACAGCCCAGCCTTTGCCGGACTGATGGGGTTTACCAGCAGCCCCTGTGGAAATGGAGAGTTTTCTTACCATTCACATGAAAATTCTCCTTACATGAATCAACGCCGGTCACCAGGGTGGGATGGCAGTAAATGAAAAATAGCCTTCTAGAAGTGCTTTATGGGTTTATTTTGGTTAGTGGAGAGTTTCTTTTATTACGGTAAATTCCATTGTGCGAAATAAACTAATTAATTAAAACCTTTCCTCTTCCCAGACAGTGAAACACTTACGGACATATGAATTTAAACCATTTGTTATATTTATAAAGCCTCCGTCACTTGACCGTTTGAGAGAGACCAGAAAAAATGCCAAGATTATTTCAAGTAAAGATGATAAGGGAACTGCAAAACCCTTTACAGTAAGTATATTTAGACATGGTAAAACATGGGAACTTGTTAAGAGTTTTGTTGTAGTGGTTCACCTTGAAAATAAAGGTGATCACTGGATCTCATCAACAGTACTTGTCAGGGCTTACACATAGTATCTTGTTGTTTCCCAGCCTCTCTCACATCACAGATTTACTGTGGTGTTTTCATTGTTTGATATGCTCACAGGTATTTACGTTTCCGTGGTCCTCTGATTTTGTGTCATTGAAGAGCCCCCACAATGCAAGTATATTTTCATGAGAAATAATGCTGTGGATTTCCTTTAAAAAGTTTGCATCTGGGCTTAGATGTTTCTATTCAAGTACAAGAATCTCCATGTTTTATCAAGTGTATTATTGGGTCTAAATTTGGAGGAAAGCTCAAATATAAAGCATCAATTAAAATAGTAAATGCTACTTTAATAAAAAGCCCATATTTGTGGATAAGAGAAACAATTTTTTTAAATGTTACAGGGAAATGAACACTGTAAGAAAGGAGAAAAATCTAAGCAAGTAACAAATGCTACTTTTTGTCAATAATCAGAAAAAAATATTACTCAGATTACCCAACAGTAACTTATTTACTTCCTTGAAATATAATGAAATCATATTTTAATTGAAGCTAAAGCAAAGCTGATTATCGTTAGAATTGTTATCTACATTTATGGTGTGTATCACTTTCCCTCATTCAGATGTTATTTAGGATTTTTTAGATTTTGTTTCAAACTGAGTCACGGATATAGTTACAGACTGTATCTGTGTAGAACATGCATTTGAAATAGTTTGGCAATAATGCGCTATAAGAATATGTTCTATGATATATAAAATATAAGAGGAGTTCATTCTTAAGAGCAACCTTCAGGACATTGCTTAGTTAGGACGGGTTTAATCTCTGAGTTATGTAAACAATTAAATTCCTACGATTTGTTCCCTCCCCAAACATGAAGAGAAATCCACTGAGCCGGGTCGAACCAGGCATAGGAAGACAGCTCCTACCAAGCTCTTAAAAGAATAAAGGCTGCACTGTAATATATCGCATGCTAATAGCAAGCTGAGGCTTCGATAATGAAACTTTAAATGCATCATCAAAGTAAACAGCTAGAAACGTTTTCCACTGGCACTGCTAACAGAAAATGTCTCTGTAATTACCATGCAGTGACTAATCGTGTCACTGCAAGGGGAGAGATGAAAGAATTGCCTGTTGAGCAAAGTCTATTCGTGAGAATGCTCTCTGAGATCACCTGTAATGGTAATTTCTATATTTTTTTTTTAAATTAAAAGTACAGTTTCCATCTCCTGATGAGATGAGAAATAAGTGAGTAGCTTTGCATTTACCACAGAATGAGTTTACGTGATGTTGCTATGGACTGACTATGCCTTGCACTGATCTTACTAGGAAGAAGATTTTCAAGAAATGATTAAATCTTCCCACGTGATGGAGAGCCAGTACGGCCACCTTTTCGATAAGGTGATAGTCAACGATGACCTCGCTACCGCTTACAGTGAGCTTAAAACAACTTTTGACAGGTTGGAGACTGAGACCTTCTGGGTTCCCGTCAGCTGGCTACATTCATAATAACGTTTTAAATAGACAAAACATCTGCTGTTGTCTCAGCATCTGAATATGGGGCACGGTTAGGCGTTACTTGATGGCCATTTTCTTGGTAGGAGGGCTTTCTAACTCTACCTGAGCAGCAGGTACACTCTTCATGCACTTGGAACTGGTCTTGTTTTCCTGTGTCTTCAATCCTCCTGCCCACAATTTTGGGGCGGAACAGTCAGATTAAACCGAAGTCTTACTATGCTCCATAAAGTGAGCGAATACTAGTGTAACAAAACTGCCAAACACCTCTGTATCATCATCTGTGTATTTCCAAGGTAAGCTTTTTTAATGGAGAGTTTGCAGAAGATACTAATTAATACTGGAGATCAGCACTTTGGTGGCTTTAAGCGTAACTGCTCCCATAAAGAGCCCATCAGCACTTGGAACTTATTACCCCTTAAGTGCTTGAGAGAACTGAAACAGGCAAAAGCGACCAACATTTTTATGAGGAAGACATTGTAGTTTTAATTACATATCAAGATAAGTGTTTTTACTTTTCTAGATGTGAACCTTGTCTTATATGTACAGAGTGATTTTAGTATTCCTTTGCACTTACATAGTCATGGAAAAAAAGATGTATTCAGTGGCTTAATTGTGAAGTACTCTGCTGTGAGCATGCATGGATTGAAAATATTTTCACGCATGCTTTGTGGCGCAACAAAGAAAACTCACGGGAATATTTATTTAAATAGGGAAAAATGTGAGTTACTATGTTACTATGTATATAACTTCAAAGTCTTTGGGATTAATCTTCTGTAAAATCAGTGGCAAAGTGATATGAATAGCAACAAAGTAGAGAGTAAATTTCAAACATTTTTGGCATCCTTTAGAACAATTTTACCCATCAGAAATTTTCAAACAACTAGTGAGGAAACCTTGGAGATCTGGGAAGCAGTTGCAAGAGATTAATTCTTTTTATTGTTCAGTATGTAGTGATGCTTTTTAGTAGTGTAACAGATACTTTGTCTCCACTCAAAAATAAATTAATGCTGTAGACTTCGCTGTAAAAAACATCCTTGTCACTGGTCAGACACAGTTGGAAACCTCATTTTAAAATTTGTTGTGGCAGTGTAAGCAAATGTATATTAGATGATGTATTTTTAATATAGATAACTTGGTATTTTTCTTTATTTACTACTGATATGCAGGAAATGAGTACAGCTGTAAAGACCAAGTAACACCTGTGTGTTGTGTTGTGAACATGTCTTGTGAGTACAGCATGTGTATAGGAACTTGCTGACTTCAGATCATCACATCTGTGGCATTCAAACAGGAAACCGGTATTTCGTGTTAATCTGTAAAGAGAATATAGCTGTCTTGTTTAAAGAAAAAAGAATTTAGTGAAACTTTATATATTTATGAAGGGGTTGAAAAGGGATGTTAGGTTTTTAAATTTCTTGTCAAGGTGATCATTTACTAAGCAGATTACTAAGTCTGTAATTTGAAACACTGTCTCTGTAAATGGAGCTCAACATTCCATGTAAATATTTTATTTCAGTTCATATGCTGATAAAGCCATCAGATTTTGCAGTTTTATTCTAAATGCATATTTAATGTGTGGGTCATTGCATTTGGCTTAGAGTCGTATAAAATAAATGAAATGCAAGCAACAACAGCAAAATCCTTAGGAGTCTGGAAATGTTTATGCAAGAGTTACAGATGTACTGAATCCCAGTACGGATACACGCTCTGCCTGTATAGCTATAATGTCACTTTTGTCAAATTTCACCGTTTTCCTGGTGGACTTAAACTTTTTTGTAACATAAATAGAAATTTGTTGATTAAATTAATGTCACGGAGATTATGATAGTTGAGAAAAACGTTTTCTATTTTTTTTAATTACTGAAAATCAAACTATTTTTCAGAGGATCTGGAATTCAGCGGGTCTGTTCGCCTTTGCCTGCGAGACGCCGAGTGCCCTCGCCATCTCTTGCAACCAACCCAAACTTGAGAGGGCTCTCGGCATCTCTCAGGATCTGGCCGTTTCCAACAAGAGGGGCTTTAGTTCTTACTGAAACACTCTTAACACTGCTTCTAACCTGGGCTGTCTCAGAACATTAGTGTACAATAACGCTCACGTAAGGGACCTGCTTTTCTCTTCAAGAAAGAGATGCTAGAATAATCTGCAGACTCCCTGTTAGAAGCAGTTCTGGCTGTCCTGCAGGCTGTTTTTCTTGTCCTTTTGAAATTAATTTAATTCCCATTCCTGGGTCGGTGTGGTCTAGGAGGACCTTCTACAACAGGTTTGCTGTAGAGAGACACTGACCCTCTGATCCTCAGCACAGCCCTGGCTGGAGTTTCCTAGACGGATGGCTGCCTGCCCCGTCTCCAAGCCAGGAGCTAATTCCTGAATTGTAACACCTGCAAAAGAAAGGGAATCACAAAAACATATATCCAACCAACAGAGTAAAATGTGCACAGTCTCTTTCAGGAGTGAGAAATAGTTTTAATTAAACTACTAGATTGCTCTTGAAAATCAACATTATTGCAGTGTTAGCTTAAAAAAAAACAACCAAAACCAACCAAACAAACAAAAAAACCAAACGAAAATTGAAGCCACTGGCCTCCATGAGGCAGGCAGAGATGATCGTAGGTCAAGGCAGAAAAAATGTCTGAGCCCAACAGTTTCAACAGGACAGGAGCCTGCTTATCGTGATGGACACTGAGCCCATGTGCTGAATTGTTCTGGGATACCAAGGGGGGGCGGGTATTGTTCCTTTGACTCCTAAGAATTTGGGAACGAAGATGACTAAACATGTTTCCAATATTCCACATATTCAAGTTGCGCTGTGTGGGTTTTTAGAGAAGTGTATGTTTTGACAGTCAAGTCCAGATGTTTTTATTGTGTTTTAGCTGTTTGCCATAGTCAAACAAATGGTAGTATTTTTTAATATTGTACCAAGCTCTATACTTGAATTTGCCATCAGGTCCTTGGTTGATGTCTTACCTGAAATCTGATCTTACCTTCTTATGCAAAACAATAAATTATTGATATATCACTGAAGGTGGTTTTTTTCTTTATTTTAAATTGCACCACAACATAGAGGCTTAATGACTTTAAAAGGTAAAATGCCTAAGTAGTAAGTTATTTCATAGGTCTCTCTATTAACTGTAATGCTCCAATTATCTTTAAATGGAAAAATAAAGCAACCTAGAACAAGGACTAAAATTCTTAATTTTTCATTTTTGTTGCCGAATTCTTCTTCAAAATAGATGTTTACCCTTTCCTGCAGCCCACCCCAAAATAAACCATTTTCTTTCTGAGAGGGAAAGCTTAAGTCAGTGCATCCAACTGAGACATCAGCTCTCCTGGGCTTGCAACAGTGCTTGGAGTGTTATCCGAGTTGTTACTGACTTGGAGTGTTTCATCGGTCGCATATGCTCCTAGGCCACGCACAAGTCCCATGGGAGGCTGTGTTCATTTGTAGGACTCAAAGAAGGTAATGCTTAAACTAAGTTACTCTTTGCATTGTTTTATGTCTTTTCCAGGAAAAAAAAAGCCTAACACATACTAGGATTAGAGAGAAGACTTTTAAGCCTCTTCTGTTTTGTTTCAGTGCAGTATTCTGCATTTCCCACATGTACTTAGATTCAGGTTTCTACTGTGTATGGAGAAGTTTTTCCTCGGTAAAGTTGGTATTTATTTTTTGTAAGATTGTTTCAAAGGATGAACAGTTTCCTCAGAGATTTACAGTTGAAGTTATAATCTGCGTCTGTTCTTGCTACTGCAGTATCTACAGTCATTTCCCCACAGGATTAAGTTTTCTGTGTATGAATGCTTAAAATCATTTGTACTTGCAATTTGCCCAAGATCCTTTTGCTCTCAAAGTCATTAAGTATTTATCATATATTACCATGATTAATGTACGATACCAAGCATTCAACAGAAAAATGTCCAAACAGAAAATTAAAGGAACAGAGTGGGTGTATTTGTTGTTTAAGAATTCTGGTGCTAGATAATGGTTAAAGGTTTCAGCAGAAACATACACAAAAACATTTGGAAACAGTTAAAGTCTGGTCTTAAATTTTGTCTTATGTTAAATGACAGTACAAATGAGAGAATTTGGAGTTCTAGACAGCTGGAGACTTTTTCCCTCTTGGTATCTGTGTCTGAAATACAAGTTGGATATTTGGAAGACTGTATGGAATGATTTTACATCTCTATAATAAAATACTATGGTATTTTGCGTAGCTGACATCCAGCATTTTAATACAGAGGGTAAATCCTTGTGATTATTGAGACTTTTTTTTGCTTCTATTTTAGTTGTACACATATGTCTGTTTAAACAAATTTTTAAAGACTTAGTGGCACAAAGCTGCCAGCTACATATTTCCATATATGAATGGAGAAAAATATCTTCAGGATTTCCAAAAGGGCTCAAATGGCACAAACAGTATTTGAAAACTTCTTGGTAAGAAATAAATAGAGAAAATTGGGTCACAATTTCTTTTGTAATTAGGTCTATTTCTTTTCAGTAGTTGCATTAATAGTCATGACTTGAATATGCTAAAAAACCAGAAGGCATGCTATAATTTTCCTCAAGTGAAATGTAGATTTGTGGTTTAACGAGGATGTTACAAGCTTTCTATAGGATTATGCACAGGCTCATGGAAACTTAATTTTAAGGGATTCAGTACGTGTTTTAAAGGCAGAGGGTCTGTAGGTACGGCAGAGAAGGACTGAGAATGTTACAAATGCAAGTACTACCCTGGAAATGCATCTCTGTTTTTGTAAGTCTCTGAACAAGGAGGTTAGCAAGTTGGCTGCAAGTGTTCTGTGGTTTCCGTTCCCTCCTTGGTAAATATAAACAAGCACCAGTAAATCTTTATTGGTAAGCAAAGCCAAAGTTGTTGGAACTATGGAGAGTTGAATTGTAGTGCCCAGAAGGCGTACTCCAGATCCTGGTGATGTTGGCAAAGCTGTTGCTTTACTTTCTTCTGATTTCGTTAACTTTTACAGCAAGAGTACAGGGATCACAGCTTTAACACAAACTTACCAAACTGGGTTTAATCATTGGCAATTTCATTCTTTTTTTCCTCCTGGCCCTTGTACAGCTTTAGTTTAGTAATCTCAGTCATACAAGGAGGGGGAAAGGGATAATTGACTCATCTCGAAAAATAGTGAGACGCCAAAAATCTGACACAAGGACATTTCTTACTTCCCTCTCAATGGATGCTAGAGGCGGTGTGTTTCTGAAACAAGGGGTGAAGAGCTAGCGTTTGATCCAGATGGAGAAGCACATGAACAGTGTTTTGTCCCATGAAAACAGAATAGCTCCGAGAGGTCCCTGTGGCCTGTTTGATACGTGAGAGCAGCACGTGGTAAAAAAGGCTGGGAGCAATTTTAATTTTTATGCAGTCAGCGTTGGCTTCAGGGCTTCTTGTTTAAGAAAATGGCAACTGGGGGCGGTTCTGCTTGTTTTGTGTGCGACCTCTGGATGTTTCATGGTGTGTGTCCCCCTTTCCTAGATATGCATTATGGGCTTATTCTGAAGAAATGATGGTTCCCTGAAATTGGGCTAGGCTTCAAGCGGTGGGAGTAGTCACCACGTTTCATGATCAAGGCACACATTTATGATGTGGAAATTGCACAGATGGAAGCATGGGTTGAGACCACTCCAGAGTGCATGTAGGCCCCCCCATATTTTACTCTCTCTGAGAGCTTTACATACCATGTATGGGTTATGCTTCCCCACCAAACCTACTTTGATGTAGTTTCTGGAGCCCTACTCCCAAATAGTGAGTGGCCTGTGTTAGGCACCATATGAACATGGAACAAAAACGTAGTCCCACGTTCAAAGAAGCTCACTAAAAAAGTCAGAGAGATGGCAGAGCGGTGCAGACCAGCAAGAAGGTGCAGAGATATGCAGTGAGCACAACTCTTCTTACCAACCGGCACCAGGGGCTGTGCTGGCATAATGGGGCAGACACATCTGGGATTCAGCATCTCGCCGGAGGGTGAGGTGGTTAGGGGGCTTCCTGGCAGGGCTTCAGCCCGTGCTGGGTAGTGCCCAGGCACAGCTGAGGGGTAGCAGAAGGTTGGTCCCAGCAGCCGTGAGGCCAGCTTGTCTGGGGGAGAGAATTTAGCTGTGTATGAATGAGCTGTGCTGTGCCTCTTTCCTTCAGAGCCAGAGCAACAGGTCTTGACCCATTTTACGGACTGGTGCAGATGGAGGCAGTATGTTTGAAGTCCCGTTTGCAGTCCTGGCTGCTATGGATCGTAAGGCACAAAAGGGATCTTTTTGTTTGGTTGGGTTTTTTTGTTGTTGTTGAAGACTGGCCTGAAAGCTTTGTTGTTATTGGTGCTATCTGGATAGTATGAAAGAGCAGCCTCAGTTATTGGCCCTGCTGGGGTATTATTCCAGATGTTTTTCTTTACACAGCTGTTAAGCAGGAAGTAGAACCAAAACCAAAGATTGATTTGAACCATGGTTTTGTCAAAAACCAGAACCGAACCTGAATTATTGTCGTCTTTTGACTTCATTGAATTCAGCTCATCATTGGCCACAGCTGGATCCAACCCCAGCTCAAACCAAACTGAAAAAAGCACAGGCTCTGACCACACTTTTGAATAGGTGAGACTCTGAAAGCCAAGAGCCTGCATCTTGTAATGAGTGCAGCTGATGTTACCTTTATGCCAATAGCAACTTTATTTTATTGTGCATGTGTGCATATGTATATGTTTATGTATTTATCAAGTGCTGTAGCGTGTACCAATTTATTTTAATGAAAAAAGCAGGCTTACAAAAGCACCATTTATTGCTTAATTGGAAGATTAATGACAGATTAAAGAAAGAAGTCTACTGATATAATGCCAAAGTTTTAGCAAATAGATGCACAGTTTTACTCAGGCAGGAGACTCGCACGTCTCAGGAAGCTTAGAATTGTACATTTCAAATACACTGTTTTGCCCCTATTTTGTGAAAGTCAAAAGAGCTTGATTGAATGCAGACTACAAACTTGTTCACTACAAACCTAGTTAAACATGAAATCTTGCTGGGATTAGCTTAATTGTTCCCTAAATGAAAAGGCTGCTTTGTACATAGACTATAATTTTATGCTTGCCAGATAAAGAAATGTGAACCTGTCAGGAGACACAGGAATTTGTCTGTGTAGGAGTATCACTGGGCCAACTGTCTTGCCTTTTATGCGATACTGTGGTGTAAAACACCACTCCACCGGTTTTGTTTTACAGAAAATAGTCTCTGTGGTGGTATCCTGTGGGAACTGAAGTATCAAGTTCTATTTTCCCTTCAAAAGTCCAACTACATATGTACCCCACTTCTGAAACTACGCTCTCCGTGACTGTCAGCCAGCCGCATGGGCTGGGGGGATGCTGTGGCATGGCAGGGGAGCTACAGGGGAGCTATTCCAAGCAAAGCAGGAGGTGCCACTCTTTGGCATGGTAGAGACTGCCATAGGTAACACCACAGTGTTTGAAATGAGAGATGCTATTTGTGATAAGATTATACAGTAACTTAGTAAAAGAGGAAAATACTTTATTATTCCATTTTTAAT